TTTTAAAAATCATGAGATGGGAGCTGGAGATGTAGCTCAGTGGTAGAGTTGAATCCCCAGTACCACACAGACAAAAAAAAAAAAAATTATGTGATGGGAGATGAGAACAAGGTGCAGACAGGGCATTGAGAGCCAAATAAGAGTTTTGCATAATGACATTTAGAACCGTACAGGTGATCTTATCTGACATTATTCAATCTCTTAGAGGAGAATATTGAAATCCAGATGTCCAGAGACTTGCCAGGGGTAAGTATTCACAGTTGGCACTTACTCCCTGACTTGTGGGGCATCTCTACCCGCCCCCATGAATTCTGGGGAATTAGAATTCTTCTGTGGAAGTTTTAAGCTCAGTTTTATGGATTAGGGATGGGATGTAGAAAGAAATAACAGACTCCCACACCATCACAGATAATTTCGGGGCTGTTGGAGATGCCAGATTTTCATCCCTCCAGGGCTCAGCATCCCTCATAGRGCTGACAGGTGGAGATGGACACCACAGTGGAGGAGCGTATGCACACAGAGCCTGGACYAGGACCATGGCATCATCTAAGAGCTGTGGCCCAAGCAAGAGCCAGTAGGGGGCCAGCTGTCTGTGGAGCCTGCTCTGGCCCCTCCCCAGGAAGCCCTGCGTGTGCAGTGAGCATAGCTTCCTTTACTAATCACTCAGGGGGGATGAAGGGGACAGTGCTGGGAGGCATTTCTGCTTTCCCTTCACTGAGCTGGGAGAAGCAGCTGGTCACTAAATGAATGTCCTAGAAATCTGCTGCCTGCCCCCTCTGCAACTGGGGATGGCACCCACRTGAAGAAGGAGAGCCCTCCTGTGTCGTCCCACCTTGGCCTCAGGGGCTGGTGGGAAGGGGAGGTCAAAGCTTCATGCTTCCTCACCCCTTAAGCATCCTCTTCCTCATTACCTCTTCTCAGCAGTTCTATCATGGAATTYTCTGGTTCCTTAGGAATTAATTGTCTTTCCTGACTGTTTCATTGCTCCAAGTCTCTCTTGCATTCCGCCCTTTCTTTCTCCTTGCCACCACCACTTTCTCTGCCTTTCTAGCCACCCTGAAAAACCAAGCCAAGTTAAGGAGTTAGGGGGCTTCTGCTCTGTTCATAATCTCAGCCTCATCTATAAGAATTCCCAGAGCCCTGAGAGTCCATAGACCAGGACTAGAGTCCACTTCCTGATCCTAGTATGTGGCTCCATGTTCCTGAGTTGGCAGGCTGCACTGTCATCTCTGAGGTTGTCCATGGTTCCAACATGCAGGGCCACYGAGCTTTCTGAGGCAGGCAGAGCTCCTCACCTGATACCTTGTGACAGCTTTCTGCTCTGCCTAGGAAGAAGACCAGCTCTGTGTGAGCCACGTTCAGTAAGAAGGTGGTTCTGGCGGCTTCAGGCAGAAGGAATCATCAGGGGGAGATCTGAGAAAGGGAGGTGAAGGGTGTGTGTGTGTGTGTGTGTGTGTGTGTGTGTGTGTGTGTATGTGTTGGAATGAGGGGTGAGAGAAGAGTGAGAACAGAGATAATGGGTAATATCTGCCTAGAGACACCCAAGAACGCCCAGCAGTAGGTGGGGCGAGGCAGGAATGCGTGTGGAAAGCAGGAAGATCACCCCCAGGAAGGCCTGGCCCTTCTGCTCTGCTCACCTGCCTCTGCTCTGGCCTTCCAGGAAGGGGCTCTAGTCCTGGGATTGAAGTGAGAGTCTGGGAGTTGCTGAATACGTGGAGACTCATTTGATGGAACTCTCGGCCTCTGTCTGCTCTGCTGGATGAGCTTCTTCTCAAGACACACCTGACACCTACAGGTGATTTGGTACTTTCCTTTACTGTCACTCATTCAAATAAAATGAATGCTTAAATAAACTTTGAGTGTGCAAGACACAAAGCCTGGGATGGGAGAAGAAGAAGAAAGTAAAGATTTTTCCTTCCTGCTACTAGTTCTGGGTCCAACATGTAATYGCAAATTGTATTAAACACAACAAAATGAATAGACTGGTTGCCATGATGGAGCGTATGGTGGGGAAAAGGGGTGCTCAGCTTGGGTAAGGCATATGGCAGGGTCTCTGTGGAGGTGACATTTACACTGTGATGTGCCCCAGTGTTTTTATTGTGAGCTCCTTGAGGGCAGGGATAATGTCTTATTTATTTTTATATCTCCAGTGCTTACAAGAATGCCTGGCACTTATTTTTTTTAAAATTGGCATAATTTTTATAATACTCAATGAATRTTTGATGCATAAAGAAATGATCTCCTCTCTGTAATTGCTTTAAAGTGTGCTGCTTTTAATCACAGGAAGACAGTGATGGCAAACAAATTTGATATTCTTATGGCCAGCCTGTCTTTATTCCCTCCTTTCTTGTCTGCCCCTCATTGATTTTTGTTCATATCGCCATTGGATGCCTCAGATGTGTCGAGTCCAAACAGGAAAGAAAACACACACACACACACACACACACACACACACACCCTGCATTACCAACCACATCCATCCCTGTGAATGTTGAAGATTCTCTCTGTGAAGCTATTAAGCACTTCCAAATAGAGCAAACCTCTCATTGACTATCACATGCCTCCTTAAATGATCTTTGAATTGCGTTTTCTTTTTTATTGCTTTGTGTAGTTTAACAGCACCAATTGCGATTACTCTAACTTATGATAAATCCCAGATCTATAAAGCTCCTGTTCATTCATTATTTTCCTTTTGCTCCTTTTCAAGCTGTTATTTTTTTTTTTTTGGAATATAGTGAGGAGGGGGGGAGTGGAATGAGAAGAAAATAAAAAGATACCAAATTAACAGGGAAACAAGTGAAATAGGGGACCACTTGTCCCTGGGTGACAGACGCCCTATTAAGATACTGTTAGACAAAACAAATATGCTTTCGCACAGCACAAGCAGGTCTTTTGTATTTCTTCTGAATTGGAAGTATAATGATCACCACCTTATCTTTAATAGAAGAAGCAGCTAATTGTTCCGGTATCTTACTAATTCCAGCAACTGGAAGAAAAATAATTATTTTTTACTATTTTGCCAATTGTTCAATTTACACCAAGGYATGTTGTGTGGCATGAACAGAGATTTCTGTTTCTTGATTAATATCATGACTGCTATCCCAGTTAAATTATTAATATGTGTGAATTATAATTATTTTTGGGTATTAGTATGAGATAATTATAAACCATAAAACAGCTCCCCATGCTTGTGGATGCCTTTTCTTATCTGAAGATGTGTTGGAGGTTGGGCACGTGAGCTTTAGAGAGAAACATGTATAATGCAGCACTGGGGGTATCATGGATGTCCGGAGTAGAGGAAGTCCTCCCTCTTCCTCACCTCCATGTTTTCCACCTCTCCAGAGTCCAAGCTGACCTACCTACTGTGCCTCTCCTGCTCCACTCACACCCTCCTTTCACCCTGTCTCCGTTTTATTGGTTGAGACTTGTAACTCATCACACATGTTGGCTCAGCTTGCTCACCACCCCTCATCTCCATGGTCACCTAGAAGCTGGAGCTTGGAGTTTCAAATCCAACCCASCTCCTGACTTTTTTGGCTTCCCCAATCCCTAGGAACCTTGGTGCTGCTTTTCTAGCGAGTATGACCAGCAAGAGAACATGTCTGTTCAGCACCACGGACAGGGGCACACTACCCATTCCTGCAAATGAGAAATTACAGCCTAGCACTCTGGTCAAGGTGGCAGTGTTGGGAGGGGTCCGTTGAGAAAGAAAGGAAGAGAGAAAGAAAGTCAGTGAAAGAGATTGATGGGCAGGACATAGAATATTTAGACCCCATACTAACTGTGCTCAGCTATGGGACTCCCCTAACTGAGAAGTGGCTTCCAGAGCCTTCTTACATAGAGAGGTGGCAAATGGGGGAGGTGAACGCTTCCTGGGCTTAACTGTGCTGACCTAATTCCTATCAGACTGTCACCATGATGGGTGCTTGTGGCAGAACCATAGCTGGTAAGTGCTCAGGTCTGGAGCACATGGGGTCGTTGGTGTTATAAATGGTGGGCTGGAAGCAGAGTCAGATGAAAGTCATAGGAAGAGGACACTAGAACTCTGCTGTGGTTGGCCTCTGGGGGACACAGGGGATGGAGGTGAGCTTCCTCTTCCTTTCCTGGAGTGGGGATGAGGCTCCAGAGGCTCTGAGCCTTGGGAGGAAGGGGCCCAGCTTGTGGCAAGTGGGGTTGATGGGAAGCCAAGGCTTCATTTGTCTGACTTTAATGAATAAATGGCATCCCTGGCCATTGTTTATCTACTTTTGAATCCTGACAAACAGTCTGTGGCATCTGATGAAGAGGGTTATTAGCTGCACGAAGACAGATGGCTGGGGATAGAGAGGATTGGTTCTTTATTACAGCAGGCCCATAAGTGACGGCACTTCTCTTCCATCCAAGCCTCTGCGTCAATGTTAATACTTTCTCCAAGTCTTCTGTGACTCAGGCAAGCCTCGGAGGAAAGACCGGGTACAAGAGGAAAGCAGAATGGCTTGTGAGTAGGAGGGAGAGGCAGGTCACTGGAGTTGGAAAAGGACAGATTTCCAAGTGCAAGCTCTTTGAGAATAAAACACTCACATAGCACTTACTATAGTCCAGGCACTGCCTTATTCTTTAGGATTCTCCTAAGTGCTCTGCAAGGTGCTATTTATTCAATAGGCATTCAAGAACTGTGAATGATTGAAGAGAAGGACAGAGATGTTTGGATTAGAAAGATGAGAAAAGCAGATTTAAATGGCCGGGTAGGTGGGTGAGGGACAAAGCTAGGGAAGAGACAGGAAGAAAAGTAGAGGACCCAAAGGGAAGAGGGTTGATAGCAAAAAGAAAAGGTTATGGGTCAGCATCCTGTGTCTCTGGCATTAGCTGCTCTTTCCCATGTTACTATGCAGACAGGTTCCTGATAATCCAATGGAGCCTCCCACTCTCTGAGATGTCTCAGGTTCCTCTGTATCATAGCCATAGGGCATAGTTCCTTCCCTCCACATCACCCCTGAGACAGTAGAGAGGTTCTCACTGACCTTCATTCATTCTCCGAAACTTGTCCTTGGCCATATAGCCCAGCACCAGACAGCATCCTCTCTTCTGGAGGCCCAGCTCTGGAAGAAAAACATAGGTGGGTGAGTTGAGAATGAGTCTGATATCAGGGGAAGCCCCTCTGTAAGAGGCTGTGAAGTTTGTTGCTTTTATAAACAGGGTTTCTTATTTATTTAACAAACATTTATATAGCATTTACTATATTCCAGGCATAATTTCAAGTCAGTAGTTCTTATTTGTGTCTCACAACATCATGCAAGATCATTTCCCATTTGATATCATCCCCATTTATGAATATATTAAATAAGTAACCTTAGATGAATGAGCTAGCAGATGGCAGAGACAGAATTTTGAACCTACACCGTGTGGYTCTGGAATCCATGATCATAACCATTACTCTGGGCTCTTGAGGACCTTTATTACCCAAGCTTAGGGAAAGTGGCAAAATCACCTTGGGATTGTGGTCAGACCTGCCAGAGGAGAGGCAGGACTAGTTTCTGGTATCTTAGGGGAGAGTACAATCAGACATAGTGGGTACCCCAGGGTGAAGGTGATTGGGTGAGTTCAAGGGAAGATGTAGGGGTTGAGGTATAGGCAGAAGGACTCTCTATTTTTCGGAATGGGTGAGTTTCTGGGACTTCCCTATTTTGAGACACCAATTTAGCACTGTTGTCCAGCATTTAAGAAGTGTAGACTAAGAGTTCAGGGGTTGGAGAGCTGAGAGACACMAGAACCCACAGAGCTTTGACCCAACTGGAAAAACAAGATGGAACAATAATTCCAGGTAACAAATGCAAGAGACATTTATCTATTTGTTTCACAGTATTTTGTAAATCAGTGCCTATTGTGTGGAGCATTCGAGTAGAGGACATCTGCCTCATGAGACAAGAYGGCAAGCTTTCCTCTCTGGTATTTATCCTTTGATCCTGATTTGTCTTAAGCAAATCAGGGTTCTTAAGCAATTCCATACCMAATTTCCCATTTAATGCTCACAACAGCCCCTGGAGATAAGCAGATGGGCTAATGCTATTCATGTGACACAGATGGGAAAATTGAGTTTCAACAACGTTAAATGACTACCCTTGATGATTTTAGACTCCTCATCTCCACCTCTTTGTGTACATATCATACAAATGTGACAGCTGCCATAAACTGGGAAAATGGGGAGTGTGATTTCTGGAAGAGGGAAAGAGACTACTGTTTCCCCGAGTTCTTGCCAGGATTCCCAGGCACCTAGCTGCTTCCTCCCTTCTCAGAGGACAGTGAGTGGGGTGTCATGCAAATTCTCCAGGAGACTCTGCATGTGTCTGAGCTCCAGCCAGTCCGTGCCTGGGCTGTTAGGGACAGACAGAGTGGACTCATTCCTCCTCCTGCCTCTCCCTCCACTTTCTGCTGTTCAGGTCCCCCCTCCAAGGTAGCAAGATAAAAGGGAGTGTAGGGCCCACGAGAGACAGATAAGTCAAGCTTGGGGGCTCCTGCCCTAGAGAAAAACAAAGCGTGGCAGGCGGTGGCAGAATGCCACGGCCCAGGGAGGTCGCCTGCTTTGATCTCCTGATTCTTTAAAGGGGTTTATTGACTATCAGTAAAGAGCAGAGAGGCAGATCTGAGGGTGCTGTTTCCAAAGGCACTCACTTCTCTTCCTTCCCCTGCACACTCGCTCRCTGATCTGAAGGCGCAGCCAAACCGCCCTCACTTCAAACAGCATCACATCTCAGGCACCCAAATTGACGATGTTAAGTTCTTCCATCCAAGGCCTTGGCCCTTTCTTCAGGGGCTCCTGCTCTGTCGAGGGCCGTGTGGATCAAAGCCCCTTTGATGTTTRCTTACTATATTTGTGGATTCTTTCTAACAACCACCTCCAAGAGGCAGGAATGCAGCATGCCAGGARGGGGCCAGCGGAAATACAAGCTGTGAGGAGGCACTGAGCTTCATCCAACAATAGCTTCTTGCTGGAGATGGTATTGAAACCTCAGCATGCTGAAGACAGGCATTAGAATTCTAGGCGTTGCCCGTCATTGGAAGGATACAATTGCTGACGATTCCTATTATATTTGCCATTGACTTCTTATACCCATTTAAAGCAAATAGAAACCTTGGCAGCRGTTGCTAATGAGAAAGAGAGTCTGAGATCCTGGACTGAGCCCAGGGGAGTTCTGAGGAAGGAGGGCAGAGGTGCTGGATGGACTTGGCCAGTGCTCCAATTGGTCTTCTSAATAGTCTCCTGAACTCACAGGAAAGTGGAAGGGGGAATAATCCTCCTAAAAACTTAAAGTCTAAGCAGCTTGTTGTATTTGATTATCTATGTTGGCTGTCTCTCCCAGTCCAACTCAACTTTTCCTTTGTCACATGCTAAAATGTCCCCTCGGGGTTGTTGCCTAAGGAGATGTTTCATGTGCATAGTTATTATGAGCAAGAGTCTCCCTAACCATGTTTGATTTTTGTAAATGAGCAGGAAAAGAAGTTTTTAAAAAACCCTGATTAATAAAAGAAATTGAGGACGAGGTAATTTCTCAATGTATTTGGCTCATTTAATTTGACACGTGTGGGTTAGTCTTAATTATTTAGGAGGCTACATTACACGGCGCTAATAAGCACACTGCAGATATTTATGAAGTGAGAGGGCTCTCTGATAGAGTCTTTGCTGAGAAGTGGGAAAAAACCACTGGAATCTCTGCAAGAACAAGCAGGTTGGAGGATTCGTCAGGCGAGAATTAGCTAGTTTTCTGTACAGGGAAATTTGAGATGCTCCTTGGAGAGGAATGTGGAGCTAAATTAGAGGTCACTGAGTCCACATGTGGAGGCATGATGCAGGGACAGAAGGCTCGGAGGGGAGGAGAATCTGGAAACAAGTTGAGGAATTGGGCCATTGTGAAARACAGACTGCAGAGAGAAGTGGGAAGGAACAGGAAGTAACCACTTTGACTTGGGGGTAATTCCACAAAGTCAATATAACTAGGGTATTGACTTCTGTAAATGAACAGAACTGAATAGAGAGATGAAAGAATACGGCAGAAAGAACAGGAATCTCTCACTTTGTGAGGTAGATCAGCCACCAGATGGTCACCTTCCTTGCCATATGGCACTGAGATGGTTGAGTCAGATCACAGATGCCCATTTGGGAACAGCAAGATGATGGGGTCTTCTCCAAGAAGGCTCTGKGCTGACATCTTTGGCTCAATCAGTAGCAGAACCACCCAGATACACTGAAGGYATTCATGGGAAGTGATTTACATGAATGAAGTCCTAACTTAAAAGGGAAATTTATAGCAAAGAAGTTYAGGGTCATCTGCAAATAGGGTGTGGAGGGCAGTATTTGGGAGAACAAAGTTTAGGCAATATTGCCTATTCAAGGAAACAGTTATCAGGACAAGGTATGCTTTTTTTAGGGAGAAAGGAAGCTTGCACCTCTGGGAACTCTTGGCTTATAGATTGTGAGCAAAAGAAGGGTCAGGACTGTGCCTTTTTCAGCTCTCAGTCTCAGTACCCAGCTCAATGTTCCTTACACGGCAAATGTTTGGGGAAAATCTGCTGGCTTAAAGAAAGGGCTGACTAAAAATATCCAGGAGTGATCATTACTCCCCAGTCCAGGTCACAATGAAAACAGGTGGGCTTAGATGTAGCACAATGCATTTAGGGAGGTGAGGATGGTTGTAGAGTGAATGAAACTTGTAATTCATTGGGACACAGAACAGTTCCGCAACCGGGGAACATTGTGGGATTTCCTCTTGGGAGGAATAAAAAGGGATGGCTTTATAAATGCAATGGGTTTCTTCAGTTTCAGAGGGTGTAGATGGGGCTTTTTCTAGCTATAGAATTCCTTTAATCTTAGTAATAATAATGATGCAGTGATACTACTTCACATTTGTGAGATACTTATTTTTTTCACCATATTGTCACATTCACTGTCTCATTAGATGCTCTCAGCAGCTCTGTGAATCAGGCTAGGCAGAAATTATTTCCTCCATTTTGGTTTTAGAAACCAAGACTCAGAGAAGTGAAATGACAATTCAAGGCCAAAGCTCTCGCTCATCCCACAACTCAGGGCTGATTTCTGGCTTAATTCTTAGAGAAAGATGTGGGATCATAGGGCTGCAGTTGCTACAAATCAAGACAGACCAAAGAATAGACATCAGTGGTCTGGGAAAGGGCAGTATTAAAGGTCAGATTGGACCCTCACATTCATGTGTTAAAATCCTAATACCAATACTTCAGAATGGGATCTCATTTGTAGATAGGGACTTGACAGAGCACCCATTGGCAGCCCAGGGTGTCTCTGGAATTCCTGCTTCCTCTGTGAGGACCGTGCTGGCCAGCACAGTGCTTGCTTATCACCCCATCCAGAGGCTAATGAGCTGTCAAGTAACTGTGGCTAAGACAGGAGCCAGCCCCTGCTCCTTCCCCATGTCTGAAGCTGACCAGTGCATTGCGATGTCTGCTTGTAGGAAGACTTCCTATCCTGTCCCCAGATTGTCCACTCACAATAGTTCAGRTATTATGGAAATTTCACAGTTGTGTGGGCTATTTATTTATTTTTTCGGAAGCCATCAAATTCACAATCTCATTCAGTTGCTGAAAACTCATCTTTTCCACTTGGAGCTATTTGAGTTGAGCATGTCTCTAGAGATCCACCAAACAAGAAATCGAATATTATTGGTGTGCAGTTTGGTGTGATTATGGCCGAGAATTGGGGAGGAAAGGAAAAGAGATGAAAGAAACATAGGCAGAGACCAGATCCTGGAGCAGCTGAGAACCTCCTTAGAAGTCTCAACTTTCTCCTATAGGGGGTGGGAAGCCAAGAGGAAGGCTGAGCCGGGGATGGAGAGGCTAGCCTTGCATTGAATAAAGATCACGTTAGCACGAGTGCAGATGATAAAGGAGAAGAGCCCAAGGAGGGAGCCAGCTGGGAGACTATTGCCATACTCCAGGTGAAAGATGATGGCTTTCCAGCTGCTCCCCCTTCCTGCTCTCTGAAGACAGAGATCAGAAAGCAAGTGAAAGGACGCTGAGTTTTCTCAGGGGGACACTCAGAGCCTCCAGATCCCCGCCACCTCAACACAGAGAGCAACAGAGGGGCTGAAAATAGCTTCAATTCCCCAGATG